GCCATCTAAGATGCATCAATTGGTCCCAACCACCTGGAGTAAAGGAGAATGAAGAACACCAAAGACACAAGGAAAGTATTAGCCCAAGAAAGAGAAAAGGCCACATAAACCAGAGACTTCATCAGCCTCAGACCAGAAGAACGAGATGGTGCCCGGCTACCAACCAATGACTGCCCTGACAAGGAACACAACAAAGAGTCCCTGATGGAGGAGAAAAGCGGGGTGCAGAACTCAAATTCTAGTAAAAAGACCAGACTTAATGGTTTGACTGAGACTGGAGGAACCCCAGAGAGCATGGCCCCCGGACTCTCTGTCAACCCAGAACTAAAACCATTCCCGAGGCCAACTCTTCAGACAAAGATTAGACTGGACTATGGGACATAAAACGATACTTGTGAAGAGTGTGCTTCTTAGCTCAAGTAGATTCATGAGACTAAATGGGCAGCTCCTGTCTGCAGGTGAAATGAGAAGGCAGAGAGGGTCAGGAGCTGGTTGAATGGACACAGGAAATCAGGGGTGGAAAGGAGGAGTGTGCTGTCACAGTATAGGGACAGCAACTAGGGTCACATAACAAAGTATGTAGAAATTTTTGTTTGAGAGACTAACTTAAACTGTAAACTTTCACTTAAAGTACAACAATTAAAAAAAGGGGGAAAAAAGATTTGTGTAATATCAAAAATTGCTGATAGTCTATGAAAAAGTGAAATGTAATGACCATCATCTTTTACACTTTGAACTCAGATGCAGAGACAGCCCAGGGACAGGGACTTACGTTCCTCTGTCTTTTGGGCTTGAGACTCTCCAGGTAGAATAACGGGAGGAAAGTCCTGGTAAAAATAAGTGCTTCTCCTAGATGCACTCATCATGAGCAAAGTACTCTGGGTGAGAGTTCATTTACTTGGGAAAAGGGTTAGAGAAGGCTTCATAGAAGCAGTAACAAGCTGAGCCTCAGAGGTTGGAACAGAGGGTTTCTGCCACTGAACTTGCTCTATCCTTAGGCGTGTCACGTGAATCTGAATCTCAGTTTCCTCATCCTGAAAGTAAGGTAAGAAACAAGGTCTTTCTAGCTCCTAAAGTTATTTGATCCTAGAAATAGAGACTAGAATTCTGGGAAAAATGCAAAGTGGTTCAGTTTGGCAGCACCAAAATAGAGGCACAGCAGAATAGTGAATAAGAATGGAAAGATCTGACTATATTATTTACTATCTTCCCCCCCCCCCAAAATCATTAGGCAACTATTTTACACACACGCACATACTTTGGCAGCACTTAGTTCATCTTCTGACACTAGGCTAAGATTAATTAAAAACACGTATCACCAATTAGGAACTACTTAATGTCTGTATCCACGTAGTCTTCACCTTTAAATCCCCAACATCACAAAGTATTTTACACAATAGGCATTTAATAGGTATGTGTTGAATATACGGGTGAATATATAAACAGGAGTTTATTTGGATTCAGTTTAAAGTGTTTTCCAGCTTGCCTCCAAGTAGTTCAAAATATTCTGATGTCAACCCTAGGAATGCTAGTGGTACATTCTTTGCTTTCCCCTTCTGTCTTTAAAAGAAAACATCTCTGTTATGGTACCCATCATATGCATGTCACTCTCCTAGTTCTCCTCACTCTGTGTTTACTTCTCAACAGATCAGGGTCCATTCTCTTAATTCTTATATTTAATTTCCATTTAATCCATGCAAGTGGATAGGCTATCATCAGACAGCAGGTGTCTTTGAGCAGTGAAGCAAGAGAACTCAAAACACTAGCAACAGCCTAACAGAAGGAACCTGGCTTTAGAATGAACTTTTTACTCTTGTTTACAATAGGCTCTTTATAAATGGCTTAAAAACTGCTAATGGGCCAGTGAGTAGAAGGTCCTTTAAATGCCAGTCTTCCATTGAGATTATTATAAGATAATGTTATTTGACTTAAGTATCAGTCAGGAAGTTAGGGTTTTCACAGCTG